TACTATTCAACATCACAGCAAAGCCAAGTGGATGTACTTGTATTCCAGCATTACACGCTGAACCAATAAAAATTCTTACTTGCTACACTGCCAGGTTAGAAGAGATTAGGACAATCAGACTAGTCCCTTGTCACCGATTTTGACTTTATACACCATTTCATAACTAGGAAGCCTTAGAGGATGTTAATCTGCTGGATATCCAAGAGTGGGAGAGGAAATAAACCGCTGCCAAGTTATGGGTGTAATTCTATCTTTGCATAGACAGAAATCATTCCCTGCCTGCTGACTGGCCAACAGCAAAGCAGCAGAGAGGGCATCAGGACGACGCACTGCCGTGCCGATTCCTCCCATGTGCAAAACTCTCAAGCGCCATAGTCCAAAAGAAGGAGGAAAGTTTATGCAAACTCTGAATGGCCTTCAGAATGGACCTGAACCATGAGATCACGTTGGAACCAGGAGGAATAAGATCAGCAAGGAACTTCTTTCCCTTATTCAGCCATTAGTACCTATAGCACAGCCCACCAAAGACAACGCTTCAACGTTATTAAGCGTAACTTCCCACCAGCATTCTGGAGGGCCATTACAAAGACAGGTGCACTTTCTGAAATACGCACTTCTGCGAAGTCTGTAATTTCATCTTTGAGTTCTTTCTAATAGGTACAAATGCCATAATCAAGGATTTTACTTAATTATTTTTTTTTTGCCGGGACTTCCTCTTGGATCACAGGTGAAACGAAGAGCAGAGAAAGAAGATGGCTTCTGCCCTCAACTGATGTTAAAGACAAACTGTTGCAAAGAACATCATCTATAAAAAATAAATTTATGTTTATAATGCAAAAATCCCTCACAGTTAATGTTGCTATTTCACTCTTCCCCAGTATAATGAAAAAGAGGGTGAATGCCCCTTACCTGGCTGTAGGTCCAGTCCACCAACGTTCTCTCTGAAGGCTGTTCGTCCTTGCACTGACTGCAGAGCAATTCCTAGTCTTCTGGGTGCACAGCCTGCACAGCGCTGCTGTCTGTATCAGAAGTTGCCCTACGCTGCAAGGAGCTCTTTCAAAGCCGTCCCACGAGAAGCTGTTGCGCAGGACTGTGCATGTGCATGTGAGGCTTCGGTGAGCACCAAGTCGGACCGGGTAGGCACAGAGCTGCTGATCTTGCAGCGATCGTAACCAGCAGGTCTTCGGAGCGCTCTCTACCTGGGAAAACTGTCCTCTTGGTGGACATCTCCACAGCTTCTGCATGATGTTTGCACACCAGTATGAACTATGATGTTCCAAAACATCTTGCTGCCCTCACATCTGAGTTTGACTAAGAAGCTCCACTGCCCACCTAATAAAACCCTTCAAGCAGTCTCTTCCAAGCATTTTTCAGTGGAGTCACGAAGGAAGTGGAGTACGGAAGAATCACAGAACGAAGGGGAAAACCCCCATATGGACATAAACCAGCCAATATGTCACCATATGGGGTGGGGGAAAGGAGGAGAGAGCAGTTAGAACACATGTGCCTAGGGACCTGCAGGGTGATACAACAGCACTGTCAAAATCCAAACCCAACTCCCCCGGCATTAAATACATCCAAACTGCAAAGCAGATACATCAAGTCTGGACAAAGTGGAAGGGCTTTGCCACACACCCCAACCACAGAAGTGAACCCCATCAAAGCACATGCGACATGAGGCTACTCTTAGAAGATCGTAGATTGAGTTCAGGATAAAAGCAAGACAAGACACAAGGCACAAAGGTAGGCACACCGACACACATCCGTGTGCGCTCTGCAACTCACTAAGCTGTGTAGTCCATAATTAAGCCCACTGCCCCCTTAACATCCCTGTTTTCCCCACAGCTCATACATATTTACCCTGCCTGCGACACAGAAATTTTTAAATGTAGTCCAGTACTTTTGTTAGATGTGCGACATTTTAATAAATAATCAAAACCAAACTATGCCTATTAAAGCACAGTAAATTAATTTTGCGAAGCCTTGATGTTGCTTTAACTTTTTACAAAATAAAAAAAAATTGTGGATAATGAGTATGTGATACATCATGTAAATTGGAGGTTTTGTTGTCAGCGTGCACTTAACAGCCCAGCTCTGGGCAAGGGAGGACACACAGAAAATACACATCAGGTGCACAGGTGTGGAAACACAATTAAAAAGCCACACATTCCTGATTTTGCAAAAGCGAACAACAGCTCCCTAACAGTTAAAAGCACATTTTCACTACAGATAACGGGCACGCTGCCACCGGCTTTGAGAGAACCAGGACCCTACTCCAGTTTAATAAAGATCTTACTGAAGTCGGAGGACAAGTCTCATGAGAAAGCAGCGGACTGCCACATCCCTTTGCAGAGCTGCACTGCTTTGTATAATACTAGCAACTCTTGAAATGAAAACTTTGGCAAAAGTTGCTGTTAACTAGCTCTGCTGCTTTTAGTTCTGATGCAGTTAAGGGTTTCCCTTCTATTGCACTTTTCAGTATAATTTTACACCAGAGACTGTGCGTACGTGTGCACGCATGAGATGGATGGCATCCCTTTTTTAAGCATGGCACATGAAAAGACATTATCTAAAATAAGACTCGAACAAAACTATTTCAGACACCAGTGCAAAAAGATAGTTGTTTACCTTAGCTTCAGCATGACTTCTCATGCAATTAATCACTCATATGGAATATCTGACACAGAGATAACGTGCTACACACTGCCTTTATAAATAAGGGGTTATGTCAGACATAAGGACCTTCACAGCTGCCAAGCAGCAAGTGCAGCACAAGTCATGTGGACGGCACAGCCATAGAAGAGATTAACATAAATATTTTTTCAGAGGAGAAGGAAAAATGTAAGAGTCGTCCATTGTAAATTAGGAATTAAGCCCTGCTCGTCCATCCTTCCCCCACCTGAACACCTCCTACATCTTGGTGAATGGTCAACCATAAAATTAAACGAAACACTGATGCTGTCTTCAGTGTAGAAAGCACTGAGGAAAATAAACACCAACAGCACAGAAAATGAAACATCCTCACCTAGCTTTCCCCTGTTCCAAGAGGAGAGAACCCAGACAAAGCCATGCACCACTTCACTGAACTAGAAGTGATAGCAATGGTATGCTCCAATTTGCTGACTTTTCCACACTTGACAAACGAAACCAGACAAGGGCAACAGCATGATGTCAAGAGTGAGCTCAGTAAAATGCAAAGAAAGGACAATTTATTCGTTCATTGCAATCCCGTCTGCAAACGCAGAATGCATGCACCCTTCTGTCGAGTTCCCTTTTTTCCCCAGTGTCAGCAATAGCTTGCTGTGCTCGTCGTCAGGCTTCAATGAGGCGCCTGGACATGGTCTTGGAGCGAAGGAGATGGTACACAGCTGAGTATGCTCCAGTGCACAACCCAGAAAACGAGAAGCTTCTAAATCTTTTGACAGCAAAGGCAGTATACACCTAGTCAAGCTGTAGTATAAGGACTGCAGAAGCAGATAGTCTACAACCCATCTGCAACACAGAATCTGTGTGGGAATCTGTGCACATCTCTTCCCTCCTAACACACATCCATAACAGTATAGAGGTAAATGGGACACAGGGAACGGACAGGAGGGACCATGACCATGATGCACAATCAGCACAGTGCAAGAAAAAGCACTTTTCTTCAGTTCCTCTCTCTCACCCTACTTTGATAACATATTACCGAAATGTCCCTTTTCCAGCCCTAAAACTTATCCTTTCGGTGCCTGTCATGTTAGCACACTGATGGTATAATTAGGATTTATAGCAGTTCTGTACAAGAATTCTCTGCTGTGGGTGAAAAAGCTAGAAGAAATGTGCAACATTAATCCTCTTCTAATTACTCCAGAAATCTGCATGCCAATGCAATATCATAATAATTAGGATTGCAAAGTAATTAAACTGTGTAAATGCCTGCAAGAGGGAGCAAAATTTGCACACTTGGAACGTGCTTTGACTGAAAGCGTGAGAGTAGCCCCACCGAAGGACTGTACCGCTGATGTTCTGCCAGTACTAAAAACGTCAGTGTCGACAAAGTCTTTGTCCTTTCTAACCGCAGAAGCAGAGACAAGTAGGGCTGGCAAGGGCCTCACGGCATCGCTTAGCCTATCTGCTGCAAGGCAGGACTGACACCGCTTATGTCACTCCTGGCAGACCATAGTCTAATCTGTTCTTAATGGCCTCAAGTGGTGGAGACTCCACAACCTACCCAAGCAGTCAGAGACCTCCTCCTAGTATCTGACTCGACTCTTTCCTACTGCACTTTAAATCAGTTCTTCTTTACCCTTTGGCACACACAGCAGTTTATTCCTCATATACCATTATTCATACACAATTATAAGATATTATCGCGTCCCTCTGCCCCTGACTTGTCTTCTGCAGGCCAACCAATCCCATTCTTTCTTCAGAAGTGATGTTATCTAGATCCATGATCGTTCCCACCGCTCCTCCCTGAACTTTCTCCAACTGTTTATTCTTGAAGTGCAGTGCCCAAACTGGACACTGCGTTCCAGCTGAAATCTTTCCAATGCCGGGACATGTCTCGCAGTCTCCTGTTTAGTTACCCCAGTAAAATGTTAGTATTTTCAAAACAGCTTGACATTCACAACTAATGTTCAGACCATGATTCACAATAAACTCCATGTAGTTTTTCAAGGAACCACCAAAACTGCAAAACCGACCTGTCTTCCCCGCGTTTTCAGAGTAACTACAAATGCTTCTGAGATTGCATTCGCTAATTCCTTAAGTAGAATAAAGTTCATCAGGCACAGCTGATTTGAAAATGGTAAATATGCCTGAATACATTCTAACCTGTTCTTCCCCTTTTTTGGCTTGTGATTTTACCCTCTGTCATAATACTGTAAGTGAGTGTGAGGGTGCATCTCGCATGACACAAATGCATCAGTGAGTGTAGTTCTGATCCCAGAGATAAAATTTAACCTAATTTCTTGTCATCAGGCCAAGCTATAGATTCCTTTAACTCATAGAGCGCCTCATACCTTCGTTCATTGTCATCCAGATGAGCAAAGAGCACGTTCTTGGAGATGGCCTTTGCCAGAGCCGTCATAGTTTTATAGTCCTTTGGAATAACCTGTAGAGAAAAGAACGGAAGGTCATTACATGCCTGGTTATATTTCTTCATAGAGCTTGAAATCTAAAGAAAATTCCACCTTTCGAGATAATAGATGCAATTTGATTTCAAACACTGAGACAGGTTTAGGCTATAATATAAAGCCACTAAGAAAGTAATAAATTACAGTTTTGATAATGTGAGGATAAGAATTTATGTTCTCAATATGACAACCAGAACAGAAATATAAGCTCCGGGATGAGTGGGGAGAAGGATATCCATAAAATACTATAATTAGCAGGTACTGGCAGCTGTGTTGTCTCCTTTCAAATCTCTTGGACTGAGAAAAACATATTTCATATTTTTCTTCCCCCACAAACAATATCAAAAGCAACCTACTTTTAAAACTAGGGAATGAGCAACACTTCTTTAGGTAAAAGGTAAAGATGCGCTGATTACACCATACTTTTCAGTACTGGCTGTGGTATAAGGAACCAAGCGCCTGAGCTTTGGCCCACCTGGGTTAAAATCCTGTGCCTTTGCTTCACGGCAGATGAGGACTTGCGTTTGAGAATGAAGAAGCGGTTTTATTTGTTAATTGGAGAGATGGCAAAAGTCCTGTTGTACATGAATTTGCTCAAAATGTGTTGAAATTCAGAAGTATGTTTTCATCTTGGGTGAAGTTTTTTTATGAGACTTTTGCAAGTTAGGCTTTCCCTTTCTGTAAGCATTTTAGTAAGGTATTAGTAAAGACACTGTATCCCTGTATTTGCCAAGCACCATCTTCTGTCAGTCAGAGACTTTGCGATTATGAGACACAAGAAATTTATAACAAGGTTATGACTTGTAAAAGATGTTCTCTGACTTTAGTAATGTGATTTTCCTTAATAGTTTCATTATAATGGGACAGAATCAAGCCTAGCAAAAGTCTTAAGTATTAAATAAACCCTACTCCAATCTGAAAATCAATGTCTGTTTGCCTGTTACTGTACAAAAAAGTCTGATAATGGGCATTTATCTTTCACATTTTCTTATGAGAGAAATAGTATACCTGTTTTAATTAAGCTCCTACATATGCTGATGTATAGGTAGTTTCTTCTCCTCATCCTGGAAAGGCAAGATACTACCCATCCGACCAGGAGAAGGATGTCTCAAATGGGAAAACTGATGTAGAACCAGTCCTCACAAACCATTGATCTGGATTTATTTCAAGGGAAAATACTGCACTGTGAAGATCTAAAGCTAAACTCTGGCTTCAGACATCACTTATAGTGACGGCTGTAGTGATTAGACTACTCAAATGAAGTTTGGGAAGGGTATGCATATAAACTGCATATTTGTATCACAGTGAAGTGTAATCTAACTTATCTAAAAGTTTAAATTCCTCAATGTTCAATAAAATGAGTATTTGGCCAGTATCTTATTCTTGTTTTTTACCCTATCAAACAAACCCTGGACTGAATTGCAGTCCTGAACCCTTGCTCCATTAAGAATACCCTAGCTGCTCAGCTTACTGCTGACGAGCCAAAGGGCTATCACTAGGACATTCACCTCCAACCTTTCTGGCTGACTACGGAACAGCGCAGACTAGCCTTTCTCCACCTAAATCTGCAGCAACAAAAGCCACAAGGCAGAGACCAAAGCGGGTCTGTTGGGGCAGGGACACAAAACACAGGAGAGACGCTTTAGGTGTCACAGTAACCAGGCTTCTGACCAAGATGAAATGCTGGAAAAGAATCATCTGACCATTTCTTACATCACTCTTCCAAGTAATCCCTGAATGTTCTCTTCAAGCCAATAACCTGCGTTACCGCAAGATTCCTATTCTGTTAGTTGTTAACTGTATGTTATGTCAGATCTGTTGACAAATATTGCTTTCTCTAGTTTCAGGAATGAGGCCATGGAATAACCCTCCGCAGAGATCTTCCTTTGTGCTCCACAGAATGGAGCCATGCCAGGTGCTTGCTCAAATCACAAAGCTAAATCTCCTTTGATTTTCTCTCCAGTGACATAACTCATTGCGCTGCCTTTAGCACTACTCATCCTATAGCTCACCCCTTCACAGGGTCCTTTAAATTGGCTTATGACCCAGATGTGTTTCTATCCAACACCTAAATTCAAGCCAATGGTTCTTCCTGGCTACTATCTAAAATTCCATCTGTTTGCAATAGTCTAACACAACCCTTGCCTTGCTTTTTACACTTTTAAATTAGTTTCATAATTTGTCCTTGCAGTGTCTCCCTTTATTTCAGTATTCTAGAAATCTCTGTCACAGACACACATCCACGGGATTCGCCAAGGGACTCATTTGCTGATGGCAGAAGACAAAGCACTGACACAGACCCTCCCAGTGCTAGTTCCACATTCCAGGCATCTGTAGCCTGACGAGAAACCATCCCCTAAATCATTATTATTTAAGCTCAGTCAGTTCCTAGGAAATTAAAATCATAACAGCCCTAGTCACAGAACACAAAGAATATGATTTGTATTGCTTCTTCTGGCTCTTGCCCACCCATGCTACTGTCAGGGCTTACTGGCATCACTGTTGAAGAAGGAAGAAAACAAAGTTAACTTCAGGTTCCATTATAAACATAAAAGAATTACTCAGGGGTGTGGGAAGGAATATTTCCTTTGGTTTTCAGAAGAGTCAGATAGAGCTCATATTAAGCAGAGACAAATGCGATCTCTTCATTGAAGGTTTTAAGGGGGATATTACAAACTGCACAGAAAGGGAAGTGTTTGAAAGTGGCTTTAAAAATATCACACAGGTTTTTTAACAGTGCAGTGCGTTAATAGCTTGACCACAGCACTGCTAAAATTTACTGTATACTTGCATGCATTATTTAACTGCCACAAAATACTCCTTCGTACTTGTTTGTAGGATGAAAGGCTCTCCTAATTCTTTGTTTCTTGGGACAGAAATCCCCAGAGCAGACAGTGAACTTGTAAAATAAGTGGATGAAAAAAGCACATCTGACTGCAAAGGCAAAAAGTATCCTGCCAAAAACCAGTGACTGACAAAATGTATTCCCATAAAGAAAAAGCTCTTTGGGTTAAAGCTACTCCAGGCGTGCATAAAAACACATTAGTAGCATCTGTCAACCTTATGAAATGCATTTTTAGCCCAGCTCCCTAAACAAACATGACATACACTATTGTAATGTCTGCCTTTTAATAACCTTTGAAAGCTTTGGCCAGTTTAAAAAAAAAAATGCAGAGTTATTAACAGATACCAAGGATATAAAACAGCTAGATAGTTTTGTGAAAAAGGAAATTAAAAAAGAAAAGCCCAAATTAGTGCTCCTACTGAGGAAATTACCTAATTGGGGATTGGCATTTCTTCGAAGACAACAATCTCATAAAATCACCCAAGTATGATCAGCAGACTTCCGAAAACCCACAGGTTAGGTGGTACCCAATCAACATGGGAACCACGTGCCTGAATGGTCTAGGGAACCTAAATGACCTAAGTTAGAAGAAAACTTGAGCTAGAAGTGACTTCTTGGAAAACAAGGCAGGAAATGCAGCAATAGAAAAGGCTGCTTTCCAAAACTGTGAGGTTCTAAGAAAACTCAGAAGCTGCCAGAGTCTGTGAATATCAAGAAAATGGCTGAGAACTGCCGACCCTGTTAGAGGGGGAAACAGATTAGTAGCACATCTCAATAAGGAAAGAAAAGAGAATGCTGAAGCCACATTGATGGGGCAAGTCAAGTCAAGTCAAGTCATGAAGGCACAAGAAGGCGGCAAAAGAACTTGAGTGTGAACACGGTCAAGCCATGCATATGCTGGCATGAGGACACCATCATCCTACAGGCTGACCCACAAGTCCAAATTATGAGAAAATATGAGTCGCTCGGTTGTCCTGTACCTCTCAGAATCAGATAGACCGTAACACATTACCTTTCTGACATAGGAAACAGCATCTTCCTCAGTGTACACTTCTGCACTGACCCCCCCTCTTCTGCGTCGGGCTTTTACCACTGGGTTGGGAGGAGGAGGGGAAATCTCATCATCATGAGAATCAGACTGGGAACTGGATTTCTGCCGAGCCAGTATTTGTTTGCATTCCTCCTGCAAGGCAAAAAGAGACAATGAAACATCTCTTACCCATGTAGCTAACTTGCTGGATATACTCGATTCACTCTTCTTTTACAACTCTGAACAACCCTTCACTTCCACACTTGGATGACTGTCAATTTACACATGTACTGCTGAAAGAATATTAAAAATTTAATGTGAGCAGCATGAAGGACTGACGCTAACTACAATGCATGTACAGGTATCATCACTCCAGTACTTGACCTGTTCAACCCTTTCTTACACGTAATGGAAATCAATATATTATAAACTGCAAATATATCTTTGCAGCTACTCCCAGCTGAGAAAGCAAAAGAACAAGCCTCTTTTGCTTACTCTCCAAAATCACAGCTGTTATTTTCTCAGTTGGCTTGTACATATCTTTGTCTCTTGTACAGAGAACATATCAGAAGCTAGATATCGAAATATTAGATAGGTTTCTTCATCTTGCTCTGTTCTGCAGGCTTACTATCAACAGAAAGAACAAAGATGCTCCCTACTCCAGAATTGCTGCCATATAACAGCCTTACAATCAATGGGACTACTTCCAAGCAAATAAGATCCAAGGTAGGCTCCAGAGGACTATGAAAAATGATGGCTGGCCTAGCACCAGCTGGCCGATAGGGAGGTTATTCTCCAAATTTTACGCTCATGGAACAGAGAATAAAATATGTGGGGGAATCCCTGAAGAGACAGTAACAAGAGCAGGAAACAGTGTAGAAAACCTTCAAGAAAGGATGTCGGACTTGAAAGACTCTGTCAATTCATACACTCGATTATCTGACTTCTAAAGAATTGAGACACACAAGATTACCCATAATTATAATATTTTCCCAGACACACACCCCACCCCACTCCCCCCCGTCCATCTCCTCTTCTTCAGTTTCCTGGGATCCAAGGGAAAGCACACAGGAGTAAAATTCCCTTTGCATCATCGCTGTCTCTCAGCCAAAGGAACGGGGCCCTGTCTCCTCGCTCCCAGCCCACCTCCTCGGCCCCTGGTACCACCTCAGCCTGGCACCCCGCTCCCAACACACCGCACTGCCGCTCCTCCTTCTCCAGTGCCGCCTTAGCTGGTTCCTTCCAGTCTTTGCTGACCCTGCCTAAGGCAGGGGAGAACTGGAGATGGGATGGACCGCACGTCCTGTCCTCAGCTTGTCTGGCAGAGGAAACCGAAGGGCACGTGCAGGAGAGACATGAGCACTGTCAGGAGTCAAGCCAATTTGGGCAGCACTAGTCCAGTCACCTTATTTGCTGTCATCTATTATATCGCCGTAGACATGACCCGCACCCTGACAGCCTCAGGGTTACGCCGATCGATGCACACACAGCCAGCTATCACCCGACGACTCCCTGCACGACGCCAGGATTTCCGAGGCAATTGCAGGCCACCCAGAAGAAAAGGCAGCAATGCCGAGGTCCCCGTCCACCCCAGAAAACCAGCGTTCCTTTGACGGGGATGCCAGAACCTGGCCCCTGCCTCACACAGCCAATTTCCAACGAGACTTTCCAGTCAGAGCTAATAGATGGAGTCGGCGGAGGAGGGAGGATCTGGGAGCACCAGTGCTAGACATGTGGCGGATTACCAACACAGCCAGTTGGTCTCCCTGACAGAGGAAATGAGTTATAGTTAACTCATCAGGTATGACACCAGAAAAGAGCGGTACAAGTTCACAATTTTTAAGCTTGCAAGAAAAACAGATGATTAATATATGTTTTGCCATTGGTGTTTACAAATGTCTGACAAATCCAGTCATGCCGCTTGTCTTTCCTGGTCTTATTCCAGTTTCTTTCCTCACCATCACTGACAATGCCCCTCTCATTAACCTACAGAGCCTTTGACACCAATCCTTCATGTATTATTGCTACTTGAGGTAAATAACTAAACAGTATTTCCCATGCTGCATAATTCAAAGTAACGAGTCACACATTCTTGTTTTGATTAAAGGACTACCGAAATATTTAGGAGACAAGCACAGAGATAAAATGTAGAAGGCTGGCGAAAGATCTGACTTGTTAAGGTCCCGGCCTGCCTCAGAAAGTGCCAAGGTCGTTCTGAAATCAGGTGTTTTTTTTTTTAAAGTTGGGATTCCAACCCCGCAAGTCCTGAGCCACAACTCAGTTGAGCTAGGTGCTGTAACCAAAAAGCAGAAAAAAACCATGATTTCAGATGTATTAAATGCTTACTGAAACTTTTTCATTTCCAATTCAAATTTCCAAGAGCAGCACTGGATATGTAAAAAATGACTCAGCTAGATTTTCCTACCGTGTAAGAACTGCGAGTCCTATTTAAGCATTCTCATCAACTTCTTCCCCAGATGAAACTCCTCTCTGACTGCCTCTAGCTTCCTTAATTACAATTATGCACTTGCAGAGACACAAACATTTAACATAAAAGCATGTGTGCTATCCATTAGCATTATAATTAATACCTAATCATCAAAACCAAACCTACAACTGAAGAACTTCAAATAATATTACTGGCTATTGTAGCTTACATATCTTGCTGATAGCGCAACACTCTTTGCTTATATTAAGTCAACACAACTAAATGCACCTTCTTCATAAGTTTAACTGAAAGGTAACGAAGACCTTTCTGGAAGCAGCTGAAAGTATACTAAAATGTAACTACAACAAGAAGGCAGTCAGGGAACTGTTTAATGGTATGTAGCACTTACACAGCTCTCTTTATACATAGCGTATTTATTCTCAGAGAACAGTAGTTTGCTCCATTTGAATATCAAATACACACTTCTTTCTCAATACACGTTGTAGAAAAGGCACTTCCAAGGAATTATAAATAATATCTCCTCTGCCCCAGCACAGATTTATACACAAAAGAAAGCTCAGTGAGATAAAATTAATATCACAAAGCATGCTCTTAAACCCAAATACCTTTTAAAGCCAAAAAGATATTATAGGATTATAAAAGTGAGTTACCATATGATTCATTTTAAAAGGAAGTCTCTTCGCTACAAACTCCTTTTATATAAACAGCAGATAGTTGGCTGGCTGGCTTTTCCATATGCCGCTATTTGTAGTCTAGGTAGGATTTCCATTACGGAGCTAAAGAGTGCCTTTTGAAAATAAAAGCGTATGCTCTGTCCTGGGTTAAGCTTTCAAAAAGCCGTCTTCTATATATCCTGGGGTAAAACTGCACGAATACAGCAAATATTTTAAAGGAGGAATGGACTCTCTGAAGAACAGTTCTTCAAACACTGATCTTCAGACACAGCTTGATGTGAACGTAGTGCAGAACTCACTTTCAAGTAAACACCTCACCATCTTTTGTTGTCATGACAACAAGCAATCGCTCTCTATTTGGATGGCACAGATAATTCACAATCATATTGCCCAATTATGTCCACCTTAAAATGAGAAAACACACGGAAGGCAACTGCAAAACAGTGTAATGGCCTTTGAGCGAGTCCCAGTGAGCATCTTCATCTTCCCTTCACACCAGCACCTGCACTGGCTTCAGTGGAGATGCTCCTGACTTGTAGGACATGTAGGGACTGACCCAGTTACCCACAGTCCAGTGCCATTTTGGGCGACCTTGCTTGGCTTCCAGCTGCCAGCTGAGGGGGACACAAGTCTCACGCTGTCCTGTGTCACACCTGCCAACCTCAGTGGACATCGCACATAATTTAGGGAGTCTTAAATGGCAGTAGGGGACCACGCGTGTGCCGCTGACTGAAGCCTCCAGCATCACTGCCGCCATCCAATACAACGATGTAGTAACACAACCCAATTCCACAAAACAACATTGCTCTGTGACTATAACACCCTATTTCATATCTACATAATCTAATCCTACTTCTATTCAAACCACATTGCAAGTGACCAAAAACCTAGCTGAAGTTGTGACCAAAAGACTTTCCTGGGATTTCTGGGGGAGACGGATGGTGAAACTGGAATACCATCACTGACTCCAGTGATAGTAAACTGGAAAGGAAAGAAAATATACCATTGTTGCCTCTAACTAAAAGAAAGAGCACATAAACATAACTGCAGTGACCCATTTACCTTTTGTATGTCCACCTTCAGGTAAGACATTTGTGCTACAAGAGGCTGAGGTATAAACCACAGGAATTTAGTGTGCTGTCCTCAGCGTATGGGGTCATCCCCTTTTCCAATTAATGCTTCCACGAGTTTTTAATGAGTTTAAACACTGCAAGTGAAGCAGTCAGGATGCTGAGAGTTTTTAGGTTGACCCTTCCTTTCCGACTGCTGCTGAAGAGCACACACAGTCCCTGACCCAGAAGCTTTATTCGCTATCGGCCAGAGCACTTCCAAACAGAAATTCACTTCCGTAGTTCCTCTCCGGTCTCTCCTTTCAGGCTTTGTCACCACCTGGAAACACAGATGTTTCGGCTGCAGGAAGGACAGCACTGGAGGAGGCTCCAAGTAATGGTGCAGCTTTACAACAACCACCCGAGGAGACTTTTAAAAGCAAGTCAGCCATTCAGTATCGCTGCTCACTTCCTACAATTCGTTCACTGCATTCAAAAGCAACAACACCAAGTACGCTCTAAATGAAGTATTTTCTCTTTTTTTTTTTTTTTCCTCAAACACACTTGTAAGTTTTCTGAGTGGCAGACCTGGAATCTGCTTTCTAGTTATCCACAGCGAATGTGCAGGACAGTTCATGCGCACATAACTAATCTCTCTTTGCCCTGGAACTGACCCAGAGGAGATGCTCTCAAGACAGGAAGGTTTCTAACACCGCCCCATCGCTCCCGATGATTTATAGCAGCTAATAAATGCCAAAGGCAAAGCACCCCGCTTTGTTGGAAGCACAGGACTGACTGATGCCATCACTGAAAGCTGGAGAAATTTGGGAGGTCTTAATGTCCTTTCCAGTCTTGTCTTTGTCACGGAGGACAACTCTACTATCTTTATGATCATTCAGTCTCATAACCGGAGATGGTTCACACAATCCCAACTATTGTTCCCCCGCCTTCCCAGTGTGAAATGCCACCCCTTCTCCTACA